GAGGAGAATTATATTTATTAAAATTGCTTTTGAAATTTTCAAATATTGCGAAGAGCTTGGTCTTAACGACTGAGCCGAACTTAATTCACTTTATCCCCACTCTGCTGCCGACTGTAATGCTATAAAATAGATGTTGAAAAGATTTGAGGCGATAAAAGAGTATCACTATAATAATACTTGCTTCCAATAAAAGCATACAACTTAATGGAAAACCTTTTCTATGATCATTTCTCATATGTATGTATGTCAAACGTTAATTAGTAAACATTTCATTTTAGTTATCTGCTTAAAAATGTACAGGAAAATCCCGTTTATGATTAAATACTAAATAATCAGGTAAAACATGAAAATTATAATAATGTCGCGACAAACTACGTACTGTATCTCCCCGTTTGGATGTTATTATAATTTTTAATAAATAAAATGAGTTCTTTCTATATAGCATTAAGTATGACATTTGTTTAATTACAGCTTTACGGTTGGGTGGCGCTTTAGGTTTTCCTTATTTCGTCACAGAGAATAAGATGTAAATACAGAAACACAGCGTGTAATGTGTCAATACGTGTTAGAGCGCAGCACGAACAGCAGCGGCTCACGTTTGTCGTAACTCGCCATTTTATGTGGTCAAGATAACCTTTGTGGCCTTAAAGGAGAACCATACAAAAGTAAGTCTTGTAATAAACATTTTTCATAACAGTGACTATATGTTTCATTAGTATATTATTAATTATGATTAAACGCCTAATATTAGTAGGATGTGTTTATCATCTTTACATTCGAATCATTAAAAGTGATTCTCATGTTTGTATCAAAACGGAAACTGAGATTTTTTGTACTGCAGTATTTTTAAAAATAATTTGGTTTTTTTTTGTCCAAACGTATACAACATGATCGTGATTCTTTGATATTTTATTCCACAATTTGGTTTGTAAATTTCGAATTTATAAATTAAGAAAATGTTTAAATAAAAAAATACAGTTAAAATTAAAAAATGAATTACATAGTAATAGTTTTAATTGTTAACATGTTATAAAAAATAAATATAGAAGTACAACGTTTAAATCATACACGTAACATAAAATAGCTATATTAAACAATTTTTTCCTTACTATGTATACATAAGAAATCAAAATAATAAATATACTTTTTCAAACTTATCAATTCACTACAGAACATACACGTGAAAAATCGTTAATATGTATAAATACCACAAAAAATTGTAGCCGTGCCAACTAGCCAATAAACTTTAGCTATTATTGTATATATCTATGTGTTTTGTAATTAATTTACAGTTGAAGGCAAACATATAATTCATTTGGAATCTGATCAATGTGTAGTTTCAACAGAAAAAAGTCACTTCCTTTACTTCCGTACATATTGAAATGAATGTCAAGTTCTGTTCCTTGTCCATGTATGATATTCAATTTAATAAGTTTTCAATAGTATAGTGTTTTTAGAGTTTTAATTTGATTTAAAAGTAAATTTGTAGTTTAGCTCGAAAACTTTGTTCCAAAACTATATAGGTATAGTAAGTTATAGTTAGCTGAAATCAGCAACTTACAGATCATGGTTTAATCTATTAACAATGTTTTAGTACGTGAAAAACAACATACACATTGTAACTTGAAGCGTTTTATAAAACTTTAAAAATAGCGTATTTAAAAAAGAAATCATAATACATAGATACATGTATATATTTGAAAAATATTTACATAGTAGGTTGTTCGTGTTGCGCGTACGATTGTAAACCTCTATAATTTGACTTATGTGGATGTACAAACAAAACACAAACATATAAACTACTTTTTTCTGCCTAACTTTTTCTGCCCTGTATTTTAAGATTCTCTTATATATGAGTAAAAAAGTTGAAGTCGAAGCAAATAAACATTTAATTAAAATTGGACCCATTATCCATCTTTTATTTTGTAAATAAAGAAGAAGCTTCTGAGGTTGCATAATACAATTGTAATAAATAGTTTTATTAAAATTCAATTTGTTGGTAAAATAATAAAAAAAAAACAAACAGTCCATTCTGTATACATCAGATATAAATATAGACATTTAAAAGTCAATAAAAACCTGTAATTAATTCACACCTCACATGAGTTTGTAAAATCACTTACAAGATAACGTTCTTTAAAAGTCGAATGATTTTGTTAGACTACCACTCATCATTCATAACCTTATCAAAGTCTTATTATTTCCCATACTAATTTACGATTTGAAAAACATATAATTAAATACAAATAATCTTCTTTAAAAATCATAATAAAAAAAAACAGAGAATTTTCCGTATAATTCGCTAATCGAGTTAGTGGCATGTGTTAGAAACATTATTTTTTGTTTTTTTAAAAGTATCGTCTTCATCAAGATTGATTTTTGTAATATTTAAACAATTACAAAGTGTGCTTTATCTTTTTATGTCCTAATTCACAATTATTATGAAAGTCGATTTAATTTTTGTGTAAAATTAGTTTGGTGCTATGTATTTGAATATACATTATACAGTTTGTAAAGTGGCACCGACTATAACCAAAACAAAATATCACCTTATAACATAGCGATAGTAATGAATAGATAACCTAATTTTTTTGCTAATTAATAATGTATTTAACGGTTTTCATTTATAATTTGATAATTTAACCTCAATACAAATAAGAGTAATCATTTCATGGACTAAATAAATCCAACCCAGAAATTTTATCAGAATGGAACAGGGATCAGAAACTTTTGACGCTACTTTATGTAATTGTAAATATTGTTATTTAATACAAATGTTGCATACTTAATTACGTACACAAAATTGTATGTAAAATAGTGAGGCTGCAAAATAAGGCGTTAATACATAGATTCATATTGACCATTTATTTCTATTTAGCACTTAATTATGGTAAATAAAATTTATTCGAATTACAAATCAAATTAAATCCTTCTCTAGATCTCTCGTGTATGCATAAGTATGTAAATGTCTAAGCTAAATATTAAATAAAATTATTTTATTTTTTTATTTAATGAGTTAGCCTAATTTTTTTGTAATTAATTTGTTTTTATTTGATTTTACTATCACTTCAGAGCCAAAGGTGACACGTTAGCCTTTACTTAGATTGATATAAACTTATCTCGAAATTAAGAAAGGAAATAAAAATGCTTGGTAGATTAGAGCGACTTTATTGAGTAACCTGACAGTCGTTTGATTGAAAGTATTAATATATAATATAATAAAGTTTGATTGAAGGCTTGAGTAATTTAATCTTAGCCTTTCTAATGACATCAACTTTCTTACTGTAGAATATTGTAAAGACGCAACCCGAAGTGTCTTAGTGTTGGTTATACTTATAGACTATCTATGATAGTTTAATTCTTTACAAAATGCTGTTCAAAAGCTACGTACAATATAATATTCAATCTTATTATTCTTAACTCATCATTTGTCATATTAAGTACGCAAAGTTTTATGTTTTAATTATATCAAAGACAAAGAATATTTCGTAAAATTTGAAGATCGCTTATTCTTTGAAGGCTATTTTTATAGTGGTTCGCCTTCAAAAGCTTAATAGGGTGTTATTAAAATTCATTAAATGATTAGAATCTTTATTTATATTTATTTTATAATTAAAATCTTAATTTAAAAGAGCTATGACTGTTGAAGCATCTTAATTCGTTTTTACATTGAAGGAGAGGGAAATGTATTTGATTAATAGGTCATTCATTATTTTATAAACATTTGTCATTCTAATTGTAATATTTTTGTTTGTATACTCTGATGATATTTAAAATAAAAATAAAAATGATGTTATACACTTATGTATAATAGACGGCGGCAAATAGGCGGCATTATCGCTTTTTACCAGGTTTGAAGTTATTGCTATGAAAAAATATGTTATTTATGAATAAGATTTTTAAAGTTGAATTTAAATGATAGAGTTCTTAAGAAAATTGGGGAAAGTATTAAAAGTTCTTATTACAACTATTGAGGAAATATAAACAACGAAATTTTTGCTTTGCCTCATTTTATTCATAATATTTAGTGTGGTAGAAAATGTGGTGGGTATTACCCTCAATGTTTTTGCTATTTTCATTGTTTAAGTGAAACATGTATTAAAATTCTGTTTCATTTCTTTTACATCATTCCTCAATGATTAAGTATACATTAATTGAACAGTAATTTTGTTTTACATTATTAAATTTACGGAAGCAATAAAACAATTTGTATGATTTAAATTTTGATTTACAAAACATGCTATCTATCTATGGCAAGGAGACTGAATGTCTGCAAAAATTGATAAGGGGTCAAGATGACTGTAGCCGTAGACTACAATGTTTAACATATATAATGATAAGAGTTCAATCAAACCACTCTTAAAAAAGATTTATCATCACATATTAATGTGAACAAAGTTCAAGAATAACATATATTTCATTCTATACAAACAAATGTCTCAATTTATGTTATTACATTTATATTTTTTTCATAATACTAACTCAATTCTATGCTCTAAATTCAGAACTAATTGAAAAACTGTATTTTAAGGACTTTTCAGGTCATATCGAGATTCTAAGCAAAGAAGTAAAGTAATTTTACAATTTTGATTTCAAGGCGACATTATAAAAGATGTATAATAATATGACCTTCGAATTAGTTGAATAATAAAATTAACGAACAAAATTCGAAGTATCTATACATATATTAAAATCTGCAATTTAGATGCGATTTTTTATTATTAGTATTAACGAAATATGTCACTATTTGTACTGTGATGAACACGTTTTTGTCACACTCATAATATTTATAATGTCAGTGATTATTTATTGGAACAAGTGTCAATGAACACCCGTTTTTAAGCAACGGGTGGGGATTTTAGGTTTCCATTGGCATTCTGGCGTTTCAATTTCTGAATATAATTTTTATTCATTCGAACACTGCCAGTCGCGTAACAAACTCTTGAACAGTAAATGTTAATCATTGTAGTGAATAAAAGTTTTATCTTAATTTAGTTATCATGTCTAACGATATGGAACAGAGTACAAAGCCTGAAGAGCAATTAAGTAAGTCGATAACATCTGAATTATTTAAATTGAAACTTAATTTCAGAAACAAAGACATCTGTGTATGGATATAACGACATTATTTGTTCAATTTAAATTTTTTATCTTGTTCAATAAATTTTGTTTGAATTTATGAATTAAATTTACGAATTAATAATTATAATTATTCATTTAACCTTTATATTCGCTGTTTTAAACCATCCTAAATATACATTTTTGATAAACAGTAATATATACGAGTTATAGAATAAATTATAATATAAACTAGTTGTATCAATGTTAGAAATCTTATACTTTATGTTTCGTCGCTGGTATTTTTAAATTAGAATAATTATATTACAAATGTCATATCAGGTATTGTATGAATTATATGAAACTCTTTAAATATTTATAGCTAAAAGTTTTTAAAGAAGTTAAATCATATTTTAATAATGATAAGTTTTGAAGTCAAAAGATTTTATCTTCTATTTTAAAACTCGAATGAAAATTTGAAATGTAATAGTTGTTTTGTTGTTCTTTTTATAAAAATATATATTTTATTTTAATTACAGTGTTGGAGACCGATGCAAAAGAAAATGAAATTAAAAATGGCGACCAAGATCCTCTGACTAAAATTATTGGAGCCATCGGAAAGTGGCAAATATGGATATGTTTTATCGTCTTTCTGGTAAAATTTCCAGTTGCCTGGCATCAAATGAGCATCATATTCCTAGCACCGCCTATGAATTTCACATGCGCTGATGATAATAATTTCACGAGTCAATGTAACGCTAACTGCAGTGTATATACATACGACCACAGCGTTTTTGGAGAAACTATAGTATCACAATGGGATTTGGTTTGCGACAGAAATTGGCTCAAAAACCTCACTCAAACTATATTCATGCTCGGAATTCTAGTGGGCAATATGATTTTTGGACACCTCTCTGATAGGTCAGTATTATTTATTATTAGTGATCTTTGTTTGCTTTAGCTTCACTCAATTGGCCTATCCGGGGCCAAGTGCACTAAAATATATGTGAACCGGATGATGCTACTTTAGAAGAGATTGTCTAATAAAAACCTAGATTCAAACAAGTATATGAATCTGTTGTACTACACTTAAAGTATTCAAAGATGTTACCTTATTTTGCTTAATTGTTTTTTTTTTTATAATAACCGATTAACGTGTAGAAACAATAACAATAAGTACTGTTTACAATCTCATGAATGGGTAGAATAGTGTATTATAATAAATATTTATAAATAATGACCCTAGCTTACGATCAATATTTTTTTTTCTTTAAAGAGCTCAAATCTTATATTAATTTGAAATAATTGGTTTTGAATGGATATTATTGGATATAATTTCAGGTTCGGGCGACGATTACCATTCTTGATAGCGGTTTTCCTTCAACTAGTAGCAGGAGTAACAACTGCATATTCAGTTAATTGGTATATGTTCACGGCTTTACGATTCCTATTGGCTGTGGCTACTGGGGGAACTATGGTCACAAGCTTTGTCCTCACTATGGAACTGATTGGTGCTAAATATAGAGAAACAGTTGGAATTGTATATCAAATACCATTTAATCTTGGACACTTATCACTTCCTTTATTCGGCTACTTCTTACGAGACTGGAGCTCGTTCCAACTGGCAATCTCCCTACCATCTGTTCTGTTTCTCAGTTATTACTTTTTACTCCCGGAATCACCGAGATGGTTAATGACTGTAGGAAGGAGCAAAGATGCTCTTAAAATTATGAAAGCAGCTGCTAAAAGGTGAGGCATTTTTTGCTTCATTCACTTGCATTTTTAGTACCTAATATGTATTTTTAAATATAAAATTTATTGTATCTTTCTTTTATAGGAATGGCCGTCCAACAGATAAAATCGAAGTTTCTATGCAGAAAATGGTAGTTGATGTTAGTTCTACCCAAGAACGAGCTTCGTTTCTGGCTCTTTTCCGAACACCACGTCTCCGAGCTCGAACTATTGCTATTTGCTTTAATTGGTTTGTCTGCGGATTCTGCTTCTTTGGAGTGTCACAATACATCGGACATGTGTCCGGTAATATATTCTTCAACGTCGCTATCTCAGCTGCCATACTAGTAAGTTTTATAACAAGTATTTAAATTATATTGTTTAAGAATCACAAAAATTATACAATAATAAGAAGAGATAACTTGGATTTTTTATCCGAATAGCTGTTATGATAACTCCGTGATATAACAAGTAAACATTTATATTAAAAAACAATAAAATTTTTGACTATATTCAGATATTTGTAACCTCTTTATGCCATCAATTAAAACGCATAAGATAATGTGTTGCGTGCGGTTCATATGTTGTTATTATTTATAAAGTTATAGCATGATGCAATTATAAACAAACATAACAAATATCTTCAAATTATAAATACTAAATATTAGTTAATAATCTCAGTTATATTTAAAGTTATAAATATGCGGAAACGATAAAATATGTTTAAGGTCAACGTCCATACCATAACAATTATAAATTAATGTATGTTACATAACTCAAAAAAAATAATTAGATTATAGAAAAAAAAATATAACGATATGATTATATTTTTGATATTAGATTCTAATTAACATACATATATGTTAAAAAAACAATGAATTTAAAACATTTGTTTCCGCATTTTTCAGGTACCAGGAACCCTTATCTCAATTTATATGAACAGAGTCCTTGGTAGAAAGATAACTCTTATCAGTTCAAACTGTGTGACGGGTCTTAGCTGTCTTCTCATTATCTTCGTGCCACAGTCTATGGCCAGCCACTTGACCCTTGGATGCTTCGGGTTATTTGGAATGAGTATATCATTCGCTACGGTTTATTTGTACGCAGGGGAATTATTTCCAACTGTTGTTCGAAATTCCGGCGTTGGACTATCATCTACCGTGGCAAGGATAGGCTCTATGGTAGCACCATTTGTGGCAACCCTTGCTCATACTAGTGCCATTTTACCACCTCTACTTTTTGGTATAGTACCTCTAATAGGTTCATGCCTATGTATTATATTACCAGACACTAGAGGAAAGAAATTACCTGATACTTTGGAGGAGGGTGAAGCGTAATGTGATAAACAAATTCAGGCTTTAATTGTGAAACAAATAAAGTATTTATTACAATTTTTGTATTATAACGTAATCATAAGTTTTGCTTTGTACAAATATTGTAAGTTTCTGTTAGTCATATACATTAAGTCTTTTTAAGGAATTTAAATGTTAGTATGTTACAAGTTCTATTGAAATAGACTGTGATATGTAAAAGATGATTATTTAATTTTTTCTCTCCCACCATTAACAATTATATATATCATTTGATAACAATTATTTAATTTATGTATTTTAGAAAGAGTAATAAGTAGCAGAGTAATAGGATATTTAAAAAGGTGAAAATTGGGAATGGTCATTAGAATGACCGGGATATTTGAATTTTTTTCAGCCAAAATTAGTGTCAACCCTTTACATTATTCACTATTTTTTCGTATAGGTATGGAATATTTATTTACTTAGTATAGGCATGGCAAACAATTTATTGTTTCACTTCAATATAAATGAATCAGTTTGATATTAACTTTAACATGACGAACATCTTCTCTTTACAGAGAGTATATACAGGGTAATTTTTGCAAGATCGATCTTAAATGAGAAATAATGTTGTAAATATCCACTGTGTACTACATACTACTAAATCTATTCATTCGGTTTGAGGTTAAAATATAAAAATAATTTCCTTGCAAATTATTTTATATCCTACTTATTTTATCACATTTATATTGGATTCCTGTTTTATTTATAGACTTGCGAGTACAATATTTTTAACATATGTATGTTTAATTTAAAACTCAACATTCTACCACATCGCTCCGACTTTTTTTTCCGTCTATTGTATGTCCTGTTGAAGACTACGGCACAATTTCAGTTTTATCTCATCTGTGGAAATGCTGCGTTATATTTTTAAATTATTTATACAAAAATAATGTTTACTCCTTAATTTATTCTTTTCTATATTGTAAATTATTTCATTCATAATTTCCAATACTAAAATGAGGATGCCTTATGTCAAACGATTTTATCAGAAAACTGCCTCCTATCTTATATAAAAAAGATAAACCATATCAAATTATTCATCTTTTTACAACTCTAATACTATCTTTATGTATGTTATCTAAATAATAAGATTAATTGTGGGATTGATATGTAAATGCAAGGAGCTATGGTAACACATTCAATTTTCATATTCAACCGAAAAATCTTCTTTAAAAAAATCATCAGTCAACAAATAAATTTGATACACAAAAACAAACGGGTTTTAACAGGAAATTAAACAAATTTATCACGGAGCAGAGTAAAACAAAATAATCACAACTTCAATTAATATGAAATCATTTAAATAATAATTATTTAAAAATTAATTTTGAAATTGATGATCAACAAACAATAACTAGTTACTAGGTCAAAACCTAAGTACAATTAATATTTCTGACAATCGCAATTAATGTAGTTAATTATCTTAATAATTTTTCTAGCAATTACTTGTCTCCGATGTAAATTTTATAAAATAATTAGTGAACAATTTCTAATCAACTGATTGAAAATATTTATTATTATGTGATGAGTAATTTTTTTAAATGTCCTGTTTGAAGTGTATTTTTTTAAATATTTCATTTTACTAACAAATGGCGAAGAGTAGCTAGTATTATTAAACAATTTCTAAATTAGCTACGGCTTTAGTTTAAGGTTTCCACTGATTTTTCTAAGATGCCAACAACAGATCCTGGCTTACTTGTTATGGGACTCTTGGAACTCCAAGTTGGACTTGGACTCTTAATAACATATACATATATTGATATCTTCTTCTTCTATATATATAAAAATGGATTGCTGTTCCTTAGTCTCGCTAAAACTCGAGAACGGCTGAACCGATTTGGCTAATTTTAGTCTTGAAATACTCCTGGAAGTCCAGGGAAGGTTTAAAAGGTAAGAAAAATTGGAATAATTGCCGGAAAAACCCTAAAAACAGCCCTTTTCTATTGCCCATACAAACTTTTTTTTTGACGTTAGATTTGACAACTAACTAATATGTCAATCATTCTGTTTGATTGAAACAGGAAAAACCTGATTATTTATGGCCTCTAAGATGGAAAAGAGTTTGCCTGGTCGGCTATACCTACATATATTACTTTTGACCAAACTAACGCGGACGAAGTCGCGGGGAAAAACTAGTTAGTGTATAAATTTGTAGGTTATCCATGAACAAACATAATAATTTATGTTGTATTTATAAATCTCATCCCTTTTTTGGAATTAAATAAGGAATTAAATAATTAATTAATTAAAATTAAAACGCCTTCTTATTGTAATATCTCATTTTGTAAAATAATCACTAATTATATATTATTGTTTATGTTACAGTTTAAACAATTTGTTTCATACAGAGATCTTCCAGAACTGTGTATAATTTTTAGTTTTAATCTTTGACTTGACATAAATTTTCACTGTAGTATCTTGTATGTGGAATGAATATATCAATATTTGTTTGCCTTTTCCGATATAAACAAATCGTTTTTTATCATTTTTTAAATTTATCACCATAGAGTAGAAATATTTATATGCATGGGTAATTTTTATAGTGATAGTGAAATATATTTTTTATAAAAGATGGGTATGAAAAATAACATGGTTAGTAAATTGAAAAATAAAAGCAAAACAAAAAAACTACTTTTGTAATGATATTTTTTTAAGGTATTAAAAAATACTGATCAAGAACTTAATTCCAAGTTTAATCTAGAGCGTTATAAACTAATATGTGTATTATTATTAATATTTTTTACCTTATGTGTAATGCAAAATAAAACATATCATAAAATTATCGCTGATAAGACGTGTTTGTTGTCATAAATTGACTTCAATTTTGAGAGTCTGATAAAGTTCTGAAGATGGTCATAGAGTAGCTATTTTGTGTTTTACTATTAAATATTTTTGTATTAAAACAAAAATCACCACTATGAGGTACACTTACAAATTTTTCTGTTGTCGTTTCATATCATGTGTACTTTTAATACACCTTTGGCACTTTTCACCTAAAAAAAGCTGTTACATTTTTTGTGGTATAACCAGATTAATCGTAGGATAAATATATACATAAGTCTTAGGAACAATCTGACTGGAACAATTGAGACATAGCTGATTGAATGTGATTGACATCTTATTTTTTTCTCTTGTCCTAAGAAATCTCATTCAAGAAGTAAATTTTGATATTTTTCTTAATTTATAATTGTATCACCTTTGGGGTATATATTTTTTTAGTATATTACAATTATTTACACAGGACGTTTAACTATATTCATTATTTTAGTTTCAGCCCGTTCTTAAATTATTTTGATAAAATACTTGTTTTGGGCGTGCCACGTCCGCGTAAACATAAGAAATGCTTTAAGAGAAAAATATATAAAGTGTGTTAAAACAACCTACGTGGCCACCATTTCATTTTAAATTACCTAAATAAAAACGGCAGTTCCATATGCCTCCCTGATTTGCATCCTAATGCACACAGAAAAAATCTTCAAATCGGTTCAGCCGTTTAGGAGAAGTTCAGTGACATGCATATGAATGTTCAATGACATGCATGCATTAGAATTATATATAAAGATTATATAAAGATTTATGAGTAGGTGGAATTTAAAATATATTTATCTTCTACGTATTGATAAGAACATTATGGAAGAATACTTTCAATAGTCATTTACAGTATAAAAACTTAGAAGGACATACAAGTGATTATCGATAAGAAAGTATCTTAAATTTCATACTTTTAGTTGGGTGAGTCAGACAGCAGAGAAGTTTTAAGGTACGTTTGGACCAGATAACTATCTGGCGACCTTTTATTACTTTTTACATGTAAGTACATATATATTAACTAAAACTAAAAACGTTGAGTCTATATGTTCAGTGGTTTTTAATCATTTATTTGGGAGAAGATAGCTGTAAAATATGAAATTATTAATAGGACGTGTATAAGGAATTAAACTGTGATCGTTAAGGTAGGGGGATAAACACAATAGTGCAATATGTGAAGTAATTTTTTTCTTTTGAAATCTTAAACAAATTATAAAAAATATCAGTGATATCATATTTCTAATTCCAGATTTTATATTCGGGTCGATTTTTTTCTTTTTGATGACTTGCTCAATGATTCACTATAGTTCTTAAAATACATAACGTAGCATTGAATAATCGAGTAACTTAAAAAATACAATTTGAGGTTAATTTACAGGTCAGTCATGTTGGAAGAGGATAAGATTGAAAATATCATTGGGCGTTTTGGAAAATATCAAAGATGGATTTTTGTTCTACTGACAATTAGCCGCCTTCCTACTGATTACCAATTAGTGAATGTTGTTTTTTTATTACCTAATGTGCAATACACATGTCTGGATGAAGAGGCTTATAACCAAACTAACTATTGTCCGTGTAAAAACCCACAATACGATCTAAGTGATATTGGGAATTCTGTGACAAGCACATTTGGACTTATATGTGAAAAACGTCACCTCGCTAGTTTAGGACAATCAATCCTACAAGCTGGAATTTTAGTTGGTGGCATCTTCTACGGATATCTATCAGACAGGTTATTAAGAGAAGATCTTTTGTCTATAATTTAATAACTAGGTAGACATAACTAGAATTATTACAACTTTGAACCATAAAAGTAAAATCATCTGACCACATAGCAATTTTTTATACATACGACATATTATGTTGAGAAACTTTAACTTGAATCTAAAATATACTTAATAATAAAATTGCTTAAAATTTATGAGACATAATATGTATATGTAATATGGTAACACCTATAACATTCATTTGTAATAAATAAAATAAAAGTGAAATAAAAACATTTAATAACAATGAGATCTAAGATTTTCGCGAGTACTCATTTAAATGAAACGAATAGTTTCTGATTTACTAATCGTTTTTTTTTATTTTTGACTACAACTAAAATACATACTCCCGACGAAATCCGAAAATATTAGTTTCATTTAAACATTTACTAATGTTCTACCTATGAGGCTAAAAAAGATTTTTTGTTTTAGATATGGCCGTAGAACAGCGGTTTTTCTTGCACTTTTCTGTGAGGTCTTATTTGTATCATTATCCGCGGCTACAACACAATTTTGGATGTTCGTTGTCATGCGATTTTTAATTGGCACTGCTGTTGGAGGAACAATGCTTTGTGCTTACATCATGCTAGTTGAACTTAGTGGGAAGTCATTCAGGCCATATCTTGCTGGCATGATTGACATATCCCTTATTATTTCATATTTTACACTTCCAATATTGGCCTACTATTTAAGAGATTGGAGGAAATTACAACTAACAGTATCGTTACCTTGGTTGTATGTTGCAGTCATCTATTTTGTTTTGCCAGAGTCACCAAGATGGCTTATAACTACAGGACAAAAAGATAAAGCTGTGGAAGTTTTATCTTCTATTGCTAAAAGGTAAAGGATAAAATTTAATAATTGTTTTGATGTTTAATTATTTGATTTCAAACTTGAACATTGATTAAAAATCGCAAACCGGGATACTTGGTATACAAAAATAAAGTTTCCTTTAGAGTTCCAATATATATTCAATGAAAAATTGAATTCAGAAATATTTAAGTTGTTCTAGTAATATTAGCAACCTATTTTTTTATATAATTTTGTTTTACTTATTCTTGTTCACGTTTTAGGAATAACCGTCCAACAGAAAATATACGAGTTGCTGTTGAAAATTTAGTATATGAAGAAGAGATTAGTAACAGACAACAACAACACGGAACATACTTAGACTTGTTTAGAACACCAAAAGTTAGGGCGTACACTTTCATTACAGCTTTTATTTGGTTAAGTATATCACACACCTTTTTTGGTATCAACCAATACATAGGTCGGCTAGAAGGAAATATTTACATTAATGTAATTTTTTCATCAATAGGTCTTATACCTGGAATGACTTTGGTGGTAATAGCTTCTTTGTATTTGAATAGAAGATTAGCGGTTGTAATAAGTTGTGGTGTGGCTGCTATATCGCTAATTGTTTTTATATTTATACCCAGTAATATGAATAATCTTATATTAGTCTTTGCTGTTATAGGCCAAACTGGTGCATTTACAGCGTTTGCGCAAATTTATTTATATTCATCAGAAATTTTTCCAACTATTATTAGAAACTCAGCGATGGGTTTTGCTTCCATGTTTGCTAGATTTGGTGGTTTTATTGCTCCATTTGTCGTAAATATAGGAATTGAATGGGTTTCCATAGTTATATTTAGTTTATTAGTAACATTTGCAGGTATTTCGTGCTATTTTTTACCAGAAACAAAAGGTACTGTTCTCTTAAATACAATAGATGAAACTGAGAATTCTGTAAAAAAATTGACTGATGATGTAAATTAAATGCTTATAAAAGATGTCGAAAAAGTTACATAGTAAGTAAAAAAAATAGTTATATTAAAACGTGTGTTTATTATTTCCTCGAGTACTTATAATATGAAACTAGTTTCTCTTACTTCTCATTCTTGCTGTATTAGGGTTAATGTATAATCGCTTATCCTTCCCATCTTTGATTGGACGGGTTCTTATCTCCTTATCATTACTAAAGAGCAATGTTTCTAAGCTGAACGTTTGCAAAATGTGAATGAGAAAATGAAATCTTTCTTTCATACATGAACCACACATAAATTAGTGTATGTCTCTACTGTTATCGGTTATAATATTATGTTATATATATAGTATTTGGCCATTATAAATAAACCGATTATTCAGAAAACAATTAACAAACAAGCTCTCTTGCCTTATCTAAACTAATAGGCGAGCTAATAATAAGAGAGCTTTATTATAAAGAAAGTCTTTTTTTATAAGGATAGTTCCAAAAAATATGTCCCAATAAAAAAAAAATATACAATTACTTTTATTCCGTATTTGAAACAAACTGCAATTAATTCTCGAGTACCTTGTTATATATTACTACTGGTATTATAATTCGCAAACAGGGAATATAAGACAAATCAACTCGTATCATAAAAGAAACACCTGATAAAACAAGTTTGCAGTGACTTCAGTTTTAATAATCCGATAAGGTTGAAGAGGGAGACAATTGAGCTTCACAGTTGTGTATTAATAACAGTTACAATCGCAATTACATTTACAACTAAGACACAACAGTGGGTAAGTGACAGAATATAATGAATAATACTCTGAAGTTTGTTTGTTTAAATTAATAATTTTGTTGATCAATGGAATAAACCTGTGCGAAATATTTTAAATTAATTTTTAAATACCTCACAATTTTTTTTTCTTTAGAGAAAATTATAAGATGCTATTTCTAAATGCCCATGTTCAGAATATTATGACAATTAACTTTCACTGAACAATTCAATTTCATAACCATCAGAGTTACAAGTATGTGATCGACATTCAAAGACCTGTAGACCCCCTCAGAATTCGGCCCTTCGTTCTACGTGACCAATTCTTTCCCATATTCAAGGCTTAGTCGGTTATCTTGGCGCTTCTACGAATATCCTTATTCCTTCTTTCATCATGCAGTAAAACTGCTAGTCATTTCATAGCACTCCAATTCCTCTGAGTGACTTTTTTACTAAGGCCTAGGTTGAACCGCTTTCGCATATTCCAAATTTTGTATCAGTATTTGAAAGCTCCAAGATGTGTTTTATATGGTTTAAGATATTTGATTCCCATTAGGACACTATTTTCATAACATGAGAATTACACTTAAAACAAATAAATGAATATACAGTTCGACATCGCACTTGTAACAAAAATGAAATGACAATGAGTAGTTTTTTTCAAATATAACGCTTAACTAAGAGACATTTTTCTATATTAAGTACTAATTTAACGTATTGTATTAGTTTTAATTATCTATTATATAAAATATACTCATGAAGTTCTTTTTTAAATAATTTAAAAGAGTGAGATGTGTGGGTAGTTTATTATACAGTTTTGCACCTTCAAAGGTGATCATGGTTTTACCGTAATTTGTACGAATCTTGGGTAGAGAAAACTAGCTCAACTTGAGTTACGATTGCTGCTTGACACCTGTTTGTTGAACGTCATATTAGTTCTTCACTTTGATGGGCAACGTTTTGGAAACTAAAAATATCTTTTAATCAAACTAACCGCAGTATCTCAAAACGTGAAATTAAGTGAGAAGTGAAGTCCTGTGAACAGGTACGTGATCTAGGAAACTCAAAGTATTCACTTCATGTAAATTAATAAAATTCTAGTTAAATTAATAAATACGAAAACAAAATTAGGAAAAAAGTATGATAAATTTGATAATTTTATGCTCACACAAGTTTGTTTTGTCATATTGTAGATATTTAAGAGTAAAGATAAAAAATTGATATTTATTTTTACATGACACATTATAGTATAAACGTAGATTATTAAAAATAGAAGTTGAAAACGTTTCACATGTAGTGGGATGGTGCAAACTTGCGGTAAACAACAGCAAGGCGTCTCATGATAAGCTAAACAAGTAATTATATTCAAATTGACATAAGAATTATATCGTGAAATTTGTATTTAATTTACTTTTTCTACAAAACAACTACTATAAAGTTTCAATTTTACTAAAACTCAAATGTCCAATTAATTTGTACAGATGTTTTTCATTATATTATTATACTAGTACACCGTTATAAAAACCTAAAGTTGCCGATACAACACTTGTGGAGAAATTGTTTAATGTTTATTACAGTGGGCTTTAAAATATTTGAATTTTAAACAGATTTGACAGCCTCAATAGCCACTAAAACAGACTTTTGCATGATTTTTTTATTCAAGTCGACTTTGTCACTCTTCGAACTATAGGAATAATATGTACAATTAGAATGGAAAGGTGGATAGGAGCCACCAACACTGTTACTAATTTCAAGAAACGAAGCAGTACCAAATATATTATATATTATAAGGTGGTCTCTCCTGTCGATTTCATGCTTTACTCTTCACCCCCTCAAAATATATATTCGTACTTTTTTCAATTGCATGAAGAATAAAACTTTTCTTTTTTCTTCTTTCTTATTCTACCTGGCAATTTCCCAGCTTTAGGTGGCTAAAAGGGTCTACCTTACATGTTGTGAATAGTTTTGGCTAATTGTTTTTACGACCCGCTGCCTGCCTGACATCAACCCTCTTTTGGGAATTCATTAATCAGTGATGTCTCAATACTCTTAGAAAGTACATATGACTCGGAAAAATCACATTGGTACTTGCCAGGGCCAGGATCGAACCCGCTCCCTCATGCATAAAACGCTGGCCTTTTAACCACTAGGCCACCACTGACTTCAAAACCTTTCTTTTTTATTTTATTTATATAGGTTTCAATCTAACATTTAATAAAATAACTTTGATTGTTGCTTTTAGCAAATATATTTATAATCCTAATTCGCAATAGATAACTTTTATTGCCCCCTCAATGTGGCTTAAGGCATGTCTATAACAATGGAACAATAAACATTATACTGAAGTGTATTGACAAACGACAACGAGTGTTTAGCTTATTTACGAAACACTGTTACTAATTTAAAGTAAAATATCGATTTATTATCAATATTCCAAATTATCTATAATTAAAATTTTTTGCCTTTACTTCTATTACATTCATTTAAGACAGAAACTCTTCGACTCCTGACAAAACAAAAAATATAAAAAAAAAATGTTTTTCGACAAGGATGTGTACTAAATATTTAAAAATCTTCTGCAGTCTATAAAACCTTGTTTTTTTTCAATATTTATACAAAGAATAACTCACTTGTATGTCACGAGAAGTAATTTTGAATGTGAAACTTTGTATGTGTGTTTGTTGATGAATAACTCAAAAAGTAGGAAATCGAATTAATAAAAAATATTGATTTTTTGCCGTCCAAGTATTAAAATAAAACTTAGGATATATTTGAAATTTGAAAATTTAAAATCCTAATATAAATAATAATAATAATAATAATAAAAACATATTTAAAACTGAAATTTTATTTTGCAGATCTATCATGTCAGAAGAGGATAAGATTGAAAATATCATCGGTCGTTTTGGAAAATATCAAAGATGGATTCTTTTTCTGGTGACTATCAGTCGACTTCCTACTGATTACCAATTAGTGAATGTTGTGTTTCTGTTACCTAATGTGCAATACACATGTCTGGATGAAGAAGCTTATAACCAAACCAACCATTGTCCTTGTAAAAATCCACAATATGATCTAAGTGATATTGGGAATTCTGTGACAAGCACATTTGGACTTATATGTGAAAAACGTCACCTAGCCAGTTTAGCGCAATCAACCCTACAAGCTGGAATTTTAGTTGGTAGTATCTTCTACGGATATCTCTCTGACAGGTTATTTAGTATAGCGATCTTTATTTTTATAATTAAATTAGAAAAACAATAAGAGAAGTAAAGTAAAGAAGAATAAGAAGTAATTTTTTTATGATTGAAACGTGAAACTTGTCATAAGGAATTAGATAGCTTTATCCTGTTCATAGCCATTTAGGTTATCTGCCCTAAATGGTTATCTCAAAATAATACCCGGAAAGTTTCGGTCAGAATTCGTTGAAACGATTTCTTCGGGAATACCCAAAGAATCAACTTACTATTTTTAATAGCAGGAAAGTAATTTAAGTGTAGTTAAATGTAATGTTTTATAAAACAAATTCATGTTTGTTCTAGGTATGGCCGTAAAATTGCAGTTTCCGCTGCACTTTTCTGCGAAGTTGTTTTTGTGTCATTATCCGCAGTTACAACGCATTTTTGGTTGTTCGTAGCCACGCGGTTCCTAATGGGAACTGCGGTAGGAGGAACAATGCTTTGTGCTTTCATAATGCTTGTGGAACTTAGCGGAAAATCATTCAGACCATATCTAGCGGGCATGATTGATCTCTCTCTTGTTATATCATATTTGACACTTCCAATAATATCATACTTTTTGAGAGATTGGAGAAAATTGCAACTAGTACTGTCGTTACCTTGGTTGTATGTTGCACTCATCTATTTCGTTCTGCCAGAATCACCAAGATGGCTTATAACTACAGGACAGAAAGATAAAGCTGTGGAGATCTTATCTTATATCGCTAAATGGTAAATAACAACATTTTTAAATAATTTCGTTTCATAATTTTAGATTTTTATCTTTTCCAATATTTCTAGTTAATAATTTGTAATTTCAATCTTGTTTTAGTTATAATATTTAATGTTTTAGGAACAATCGCTCAACAGAAAATATACGAGCAGTTGTTGAAAACTTAGTATGTGAAGAAGAAATTAGAAATAGACAACAACAACACGGTACATATATGGACTTGTTTAGAACGCCGAAAGTTAGGGTGTACACTATTATAACAGCTTTTATTTGGTTAAGTATATCACATACCTTTTTTGGTATCAACCAATACATCGGTCGGCTAGAAGGAAATATTTACATTAATGTAATTTTTTCATCAATAGGTCTTATACCTGGAATGATATTGGTGGTAATAGCTTCTTTGTATTTGAATAGAAGATTAGCGGTTGTAATAAGTTGTGGTGTGGCAGCTACATCGCTTATTGTTTTCATATTTATACCCAGTAATATGAATAATCTTGTATTGGTGTTTGCAGTTATAGGCCAAGCCGGTGCCCTTACAGCATTTGATCAAATATATTTGTATTCATCAGAAGTATTTCCTACTATTATTAGAAACTCAGCAATGGGATTTGCTTCAGTGTTTGCTAGGTTTGGTGGTTTTGTTGCGCCATTTGTAGTTAATATTGGAACAGAATGGATTTCTATAGTCATATTTAGTTTATTAGCGTCGTTTGGTGGCATTTCGTGTTATTTTTTACCCGAAACAAAAGGTAAAGTTCTCTTAAATACCATAGATGAAACTGAAAAGTGTAATAAATTTTCACCATCTACTGATTCAGACTAATTGTTTATAATATTAAGATAGAAGATTAAATTTTATTATAATTTTTTTTTAATTTTATTTTTGGTCTGTCTATTCTTACACGCTTGTTTGCTCTCATTTTAACATTATTATTCGTCGAGGTTATCCGTGTGTCTGCTTATTGTCCAACCTAATATCCGAAACCAATGAATATTCCATATTGAATATGCAATGTTAATTTTGAATATTGCAAAACAAAACAGTTTAGATACGTTTTGGCACCAGCTGCAAGTAGCAAGACACCGTCTTCTTGATTAGAGAGCGTTGATTTCGTTCCGTTCCGTTCCATTTAGGTGGAGTTTTCAGTAAGATTTGTATTAAAATAATTTCGAGATTCGATTCATTCATTCGATTCATATTTTACTTTCTTTCTATGAGCCAACGCCTGGATCATAGGGTCGTAGTATATGGCATGACCACTGTGTTCAATGTTGTATTCACTCTTTCCTTATTGATAGTTAATAAAAACGACAACTACAAATAGAGGTTATAACGACACAGAAATTAGATTTCGATACAAGCACAAAATCATATCCAAAGCTGATGATAAACTTAACAGTTTTAGAAATATTTTTAAGGAATACTTTAAACTTACAGTCACAAAAATTTTAACTTCCTTGTGTTGAGCCACTAAATATATTTGATTATTTTTTGCAATTTTATTTGAAACAAGTCTCGGAAATAAATTGTCGGGTAAAAAAGAAACATCTTGTACTCTTAAAATCACACTACACTTGACAAACTCAGAAAAGTTTAAAACACTTTTATTATTATAATAATAAGTACATACATATTATTTATTATTATCAAAGTTTAGGGCACTTTATTAAAAATTCTGTACTGAATGTTATGAAAACCTTCAAAGTATTTAGTTACCAAGATGAATAATAAAGTATGATAGATAACCCAAAATCTAAATAAGATGCTATAATATAAAGAATATATAAATAAGATATCAAAAAAAGTCCATATAATAAATGCTAGCTTCGCGACGAATAATGATCTTGGCTCATGTTTTACTGGCGTGGCTTTGGCTTTAAAGTCTATATAAGATCCTGAAAAATAATAAAATCAATGTTAAAAAATGTTACTATTAATAAATAAGATACATAAAATACAAAAATGTTTTTACTTCTTAACTGTTGATTCCCGTGAAAAGGTAACAAATAAAAAAAGGCTTTCAGATATAACTACGCCATAAACATAACAATACCATAACAAATTAGTCTATTAAAATGAAATACCATGAAGAATTTTATATATTTTGCATAAGATTGAAAGAAGCCTTATTTTATGTTTATTCCAACTACGTATATTATATGTCTGTAAATACATATTTACTTATCTTTTAATGACATTTTAATCTGTTTACTGCTTACTCTAATATTAATTTCCATATTGTTAATTTACCGTCGGCATGAAATTTTTCCAAGCACATGTTTTTTTCTTTCCAACGATCTTGAAGCCAATGTCTTAAATCATCCTCTTGCAGAGGTAAATCTTCAATGGCATATCTGTAACGATAAAATAATTCATGTACTTTTAAAACTGACGCTATAATATTTTATAAAATAGAATGTTTAATTCACAGACATCAGTGAGGTCTGACAGCACATTAGTTAATTGGTAATTTGGTGGCTCAATTATTGAAACAACTGAAACCTAGTATTCTAGAGTTCGTACGTTCAACTCCTGCTCATGTCAATGACTTTTTCATTCTATATTTTCTATAAGAATATAAGTTTTACTTATCTAGTCAATTTATTCATTCAATACAAAGGTTACATAAATTATGCCTCATTCTTTGAAATTCATAGTATTAAAATGTTTTATCTTTAATTTAATCAAAACAAATATTTATCCATAGTGATTTGTAATTAGTTTAAAATTATTACATTTTTTAAGCCTGTAAGGATCTTTGTACTTTTTTCTGTGTCAATTATGTATTTTTCCACTTGTATGGCTTAGGTACGTAATTATTGACAAACCAAAGTAAGTAATTATAAAAAACAACGTCGTTTTAAAATAATTTAGTTTTTTTTATATCCTCATTAAGATTTAATACCGTTTTTCAGGCCATTGTTCAGTGTTATTCATTAGCGTTAAGATTTAACTTTTATATCCATTAGTAAAAGGTTTTTTTTTATTTTATACTTCGTATAAATTGTGGTTACAGAAGTAATTATTGTCTGTTTTTGTCCTATTTATTTTTTTGTCCTATTTGAAATAAATATACTACTACTTTTCACTAAAATAAAATAAAAACAACATGAACAAACAAAGAGTATAAGTTACAAAAAATCAGTGACATATGGTAAGCTAAACCTATTAGGAATCCCTTAATATTTTACATGTAAAATGACTTTAATCTTTCAAACCGTAAAAAGTAGACAAAAAATAGTTATGTAATGTATAATACATACATACATATAGGAAAATGTATATTTTCTTTGTAATTTACTTATGTGCTAACTGTAATAGATGTGCATAAAGTATACGTTACCGTTTGAAATAAAAATGCACGTGTTTCGGTAAATTTCCTTTTAGTAAATCCATTTCAGTTTGAGGGGGAGAATCATAGGCCACTGTGACATCGTAAACAGAAGTAAGTCCAGCATCTCTCAAACGTGAGCAAAGAACCGCCCATCCCGTAGTTCGTGGGTGCAAAACATATTCATAATTCTAAAGTAAAGTAGAGTAAAGTCAAGTAAAGTAAAGACAACATAAATGTCCTTTAATTATATAATCTGTAACCGTAACTTTAGTTTTAAAAAGGTTTTATGCTAAGGTTCGTTTAGGTTTAGAATTTAGATCATCATATAAACCATTGACAAATGTAAGGCAATATATAAATATAGAATTAGAATGAAATATAAATAAAGATTCGTTACAAACCGGTAGATTTTTAGACAAAGCAAATTTCAGACTTCGTCGCTTATTTTCCTCGCTTAAGTCCGTACCTTCGGGAAACAAAATCACCCGTTGTTTATAATTCATCTTTTTATAATAATCCACGTACTGCGATAAACTTAACTGATCCTCTTGCCAATTCCTTTTCACGTATAAGAAATAATTAAGTTGCATGATCCATCCTGTATAAATGAATAGAAAATAAGAATGCAGATGATTATTTAGATAATTATTATTAAAGTTGTTAGAATATAATAACGAATTATAAATTTATAGGCAATTTTTTAGACTGTCATAGAAATGGATGTCCCCATTTAGTATTTTTGTTAAACGGAAATAACAAGTTACCAACATTAGCACGTTTCATCAGTTAATTGTTTAAGTGCTATCTGTTTAACAGTTCGTTAGAGATAAATTACTGTTGTGTTTTTGATGTATTAATTTTTGTTTCCATATTTTTTCATTTTCTGTTGCAAAGGTGATTTATTCTTCACTAATTTTTATAAACAACTATATATAAAAAGTGTTATGGTGCACGACATTTTCAAATAGAGCATTTTTTGGTGTAAGGTTTTTTCCTTATAATTCATATTTTTAATGTTAAAGTTTTGTTTATAAGTTAGCATTAAGAAACTCGTTTAATTAATATTATACGTAAAGATAAATAGTTATAACTTATGTAGAAATGCTTATTAATGAAATCTTTCCACATAGCCCCGTAATTCAAACTAACTTTAACTTTAACTTAACTTTACATAATACTACTAATAATTCTAGTGATAAAGTATTATAGCAGGATGGTCAAAAATATGTTCAACGAAATTAGTAACGCCGTCTATGAAGCGGTGATGTCACACTAACCATACTCTACTGAAATGACCTTTATAGTAATAAATACATTCTTTTTCTGGCACTATAGCCATTAAAATTAACATACGCTAATTTGGAGGCATTATTTAAATAAATACAAAAACAAATGACCAATAGACGTACTAAATGCCACAATAACTCACCAAGTCCTGGAACACTTTTAATTTCATCCTTTAACACAAATTTTATTTTTGCTTTCCCTCCTGAAATCGTATCGAAAATTCCTTTGCATTTACTAAAAAAGTCCATATTATGTGATTGTTTTACATATGTGCTATATTTTTTTCTTTGGGTTGCGTGATATAAAGCTATCCATACATAATTCCAATCCACTCTAGTACGATGATTCATGATAATAATGGTAGTTTCGTCTGGATTGACATAATCTCCATAATGATGTAATTCCGTTTTACAGCACCATTGAAATAATGCCTGAAATCAAAGTTACATTGTTTATCGAAATTTTTATTTAAAGAACAGTTAAGAAAAAAAAACAAAGATAACTTACCACTGGATATAACTCCCATAGTGCAAAAAGAAAATCTGCTACTTTCCGATACAATTTGTGATTAATAAACACAAAATACATTACAGGACAATAAAGGATATAGAAGCCTGAAATATTAAAAACTATGTAGATAGACAACAAGAAATATACAAATGTTTATAGAATTTTATGGCTTCTGTAATATACGAGTATATAAGTATAATTCTTATTATCATTGATTTATATCTTCATTTAAAAAAACGATTCAAACGAAAACAAATATGAAAACGAAAACAAAAACTGTATGACATATTCAAGAGCAACTGTTATAGCCTTATGTAAATCTTTAAGATATTTTTTTACCAGCTAGTATGGTATAATACCAAGCGATACACACTATCAGGCCTGCCACCATGATGACAACTGTACTGTCGAGGGGTTAAAGAAGCCCCACAACCTACTTTTAGATTAGAACCCTTACGATCTTAAATATACTTATATAAGGTTCTCGACTAATATATGTATATATACTCGTAGATGTCATATTTATAAATAATATATTTATTGAAAAAAATAATCTATTATAAGATATATTATTATACTAGATATTACAGTTTAGTTTAATTACTTTATGGTTGATTCGCTCTTTGTGAACGTTGTGTAACGTTTGTTGAACCCAAGTTTTCTCCGTCTTCAAGAGTAGTTAGAAATCCGACACCTTTTGTTTCTGGTAGAAGTAGACAAAGAAAAGCTGCGATAATTGGAAACACGCCAAATAACACAGGAGCACACCATTTTCCGTGTGGCCGCAAACCTGCCACAAATGGTGCCACCATAGCACCAACTCGTGCTAACATTGAGGCTATTCCTATAGCAGCATTTCGTACAATTGTCGGAAACATTTCCGAAGAATACAAATAACTAACGATAAATGCCATAAAGCATAGTAAAACACCAATACAACCCATTATAACAGATCCAATACCTTCAGGTATGAACGCAACAATCATGAGACAGATACCGCAAAATGTATGAAATATAATTACCAACATCTTACGACCAAAATTTTTTACCAAAGGAATAACTAAAATACATCCAATAACACAAACACTAGAGCTGGCAACTACATTTATAAAGATATTTCCAGTCAAATGGCTAATGTAATGAGCTATTCCATAGTAACAATAGCTAGACACAAACCACGTGAATGACATAACTATTATGTTTTTCCTCAAATTAGGAGTACGAAATAAATCTATTACATTTCCTTTTTTATGTATAAGTTTTATTGAATCCAACTGATAAGCTTCAATTCTTCTACGAACTACGTCGTTTGGTCGACCGTTGCTAAAATATAAGAAGATAATTAAATATAATATCTTTTCTAAAAGTAAACTATGGATCTGCTTACTTACATTTTTTCTATTTTTTCAATTAATTCAATAGCCTTGAAAGGTTGATTCGTAGCAATAAGCCACTGAGGTGATTCAGGTAGAATACAAATATATATCAAAAGTATTAAACTTGTAAGCGACAGTCCCATTTGAAAATGTACGTAGTCCCGTAAGTAATAACCAAATAGTGCCAATGCCATGTGTCCAAGAGTAAATGGAAGGTGGAAAAGGGAACAAATAACATCTCTGTATTTAGTACCAACGAATTCCATAACAAGGACAAAGCCTACTACCATAATACCACCAACTGATATTCCTAAAATCATTCTTATTAAAGTAAAACTCCAATAATCTGGTAAAAATGCCACCACTACTCCCGTAAATATTTCTAAAATAACAGACACAAGCAAGGTCTTCCTTCGTCCGTATCTAAAAAAACATCTAAACAATGTAAACAAAACTCTGAAATCTTAACCAAAAACATAAATCGTAAATAATTAAAAGAGAAAATACCTATCTGAAGCAACTCCAAAAACAAAGCTTCCCACTAGAACTCCAAATTGAAAAAAAGTTTGTGTTAAATCCTTCAGCCACGCTTTCTTACATATAAGATTAAATTCAGTAATGATAGTCCGATCAAATTCAGATTTATCATATACAGGGTTATCACAGCTTATTGAGCATGAAGGTGTACACGTGTAACGAACAGGAGGTGCGAGGAATATTATGGCCATTTGATGCAATCCAACTCCAAATTTACTAAGAAATATAATGAAGCAGATCCACAGCTGATATCTTCCAAAATTGCCAAGAAGCGAGTCAATTGGATCCATTATTATCCAATCATTCACTACAATGAGAATGTACAATAACACGGAGTGTATACGCCTTATCTAAAATGACTTGTTTGTCAGTTTTTTTAATACTTCATTTAATATTAAATCGTGATGGCTTATTGTAATGACTTAAGTTTGAAATAAACATTTATACAAGATTAGACAAGTTCGTGAATATTTATTTATAAAAAGTAATAAGCATTGATGTTGTAAATCCATAAAAATGTACTAAAATCCAAAAATCTTCTATTTCATTCTATCACTTATTTTCTTCCGTGTTATTATCCTTTAAATAAAAAAAAAAGGTATTAATCTTACCTCAAAGTAACACCGTACCTATTTGTAAAACAATATACACATATCCGTTCCTAATACATAGAACCTGCATTTCAATACTACATATATAATACTTTTCATATTTAATCTGAGTTAAATAAAAATTATGCTAGTAAAAATGGAATTCACATTCAAAACATATTGAGATATCCTTTTTTTTAAATCTTTTTATTATCGATAACAAGAATTATTAATATAAAATTTTCCGCTCTCAGTTATCAAGATTTTTTATTTTCAACTTATGTCTTTTATCAAGAAAAATATATCGCTAGAACAGAATAGAAAATAAATGCGGATACTTAAAGCGGAAAATAAATTAACAAAAACCGTTTCAGTGAATTTTATGAAGACAAAATGACATTATCTAAGAACAGTGATCAATTTCTAGGCAAGTTAATTTAAACTTGACACTTTTTTTTATTATTTCCTGTTGCCCTTTCATTAATGTTAACAATACCATATTTTCCCGTTTCACCAAACAAAGCCTCTCGCGATATTATAATTTTACAGTAGTTTGTTAAAGGAAATGATTTTGAGAAATAATTGAAACATTGCAAATAAACATCATATATACATATAAATAACATGGTAAATCTTGATAAATTTGATCATACTTGATAATATTGGTTTAATTATTGCTAAATACATAAAAAAGGCACTGCAATACGTACTGTAATACTTACTGTATTATTTTATAAAAATTACAATCAAATGTTTTGATGTCACATAAACATATTATAGAATAGGGCATTTTTTAAAGTTTACTGATAAGAAATATGTACATGTCAAAAGATATTTGGTATAATAGATATATTTTAAGTGTCTCTTCTTTAAAAATATATATAACTCATCACAATTCACTTTTTTTTAAATTATCAATGAACAGTTTTCCATATACTTAAGGTACTTGATATTTAAAGTAGACGAACTAGAGGGGATGTCACATAATTTTTAAGATCTTATATATTTGCTATGGCAATTTTATCTATTAATCATAAAACCTACTTGAAAGGCAGTCTCGATAACAGAAGCCTATGATTTTTTTGTTTTTAAAATCATTATATCTCAATATTTATCTGATAAAGATAAAAATTTAATTCAGATAAACCACACATGGTCAGATAAACTTGACATTTTGATAAGAAAAAGTTTTTAACTCCTTATTTACATTGAGTAATGTGTTTATTTTTAATGACGTAGAAGTTTTAACTATGTAATATAGTACTGATACTAAAATGTTTTTGTAATAAGTAAATCCTTACGTAATTCATTACGTAAGGATTTACTATACTATACTTTATTGTCTTCAAGCAAGTATCACAATGTGTATTTCTATGAGGTACTTATAAAACTTTATTATTTTAAAAATTACATACTTATGAATATTAATATTAATGACTGTCAGTTTCAAACATTTTGAAAATGTTCCTCATATTATCCTTATTACTTCTCACGTTGACATTATTTTAGTAACAATACTTGCAAGATCCTTACTTTAAAATTTCAAAACAATAACATATTAGTTGGAAGAATAAGCATATATATACATCATCATTTTATATTGTTAAAAAATATAAAATCGCACTTCATAAAGTTTATAAACGAATAGGAAGCAATATTAAATTTATGTCGGTAACTATATACAAATTGACATTTAGTTTATTTATGACAAAAGTTTTGAAAACTATGTAAATCCAAATACGATCCTTTTTTTTAAGTAATAAATTCAATAAAATTGATAGAATCTTAATTAAAACATTGTTCATAAATTTATATAACACTAATACTATTGTCTTAACAATTATCTTAAATAGAAACCTTTTGTACATATACATTTTTTAATACTACTTTTGTTCTTTTTTACCGAATCTTTCTCCCTCCTCTATGGTGGTCATAAGTTCGTGACCTTTAGTTTCAGGAAGGAGAAAAGACACCATAGCAGCTGCGAGTGGGAATATTGCAAAAATTATCGGGGGTAGCCAAACAGCCGTATCTCGCAGATCTATTACGAATGGCGCTATCATTGAACCAATTCTCGCCATCATAGACGAAAATCCTATAGCGGCATTACGAACAACGGTAGGAAATAGTTCGGTACAATACAAATATACTACTACAAAAACTATAAAACTAGCCACTACTCCAACACTGGCAAAAATGACTGAAAATGACCTATCAGGAAAACATGCTAATATTAACAAACATACTGCAGATATAAAATTAAACACTATTAATATAGTCCTCCTGCCGATTGCTCTCATTAAAGGTATCGAAACAAATGTTCCAACTAGAGTAACACTTGCACTTGCTGCTACATTCACAAAAATATTTCCACTCAACTGTCCGACATATTGAGATACGCCGTAGAAACAATAACTGCAGGTTAGCCAGTTAAAAGACATAGCCAATATATTCTTTCTTAGATTTGGAGTCCGGAAAAGATCCAATAAAGTTCCCTTTTTAAGTTTATTGTTCTCTAATTGTTGTTGATAGGATTCTATATCTTTTCGAATATGTTCCGTTGGTCGTTTATTTCTGTGAACAAGAATAAAATAGGTATAATTGAAATATAAAATGTGAAAATGAATGGTTATTATGAACACTTACATTTTAGCAACACGTTCTATAATCTGAATAGCCTCTTCTGTACGTTGTGATGCTATCAACCACCTGCCTGTTTCTGGTAACAAAAAAAAGTAAGACAGGAGAAGGATTGCAGGTAAGGATATTGCCAATTGGAAATTTACATAATCTCTGAAGAAGTATCCAAAAACTGGCAGCAACATATGACCCATATTGAATGGTGCTTGGTAAAGAGCAGAAATAATATCACGATATTTCGTGCCCACATATTCCATAATAATAACAAATCCTACGACCATTGTCCCTCCTACTGACATCCCTACGATGAAACGAAGAAGGCTGAATGACCAGTAGCTAGGTGCAAAGGCTGCGGCTACTCCTGATGAAACTTGTAACAAGACAGCAAATAACATCGGTTTTTTGCGTCCGAATCTATAAGAAAAAAATACGATATTATTTGTCTCAAACATATTTTCATATTACCAACTAACGTTAATTGAGAAAATAATGTATTAGACTGTTTTTTAAATGCTGAAACTGTTAAGACCATAGCCATAGATTTTGACAAATGAGTGTTAATAAAAATACATAAGTATAAAAACAAAAAAAGTAAAGTTAAGTTTTCGTAAACGATCACAACTAAAGAGAAGAAAATTTTGATCAACAGTTCTCAACAGAGTGATTTTTGTAATTTATACGTCACACTCGAGTTTAAAGTAGTACACTTTATTTTAAAACTAGATCTTGCTAATTCTTTAAAAATAAAGTTATCATCAATAAATATTTTAAACATACATACCTATCAGAAGCCATCCCGAAAAGAAGGCTGCCAATCAAGGTTCCCAATTGAAACAAGGTTTGAGTTAAGCTCGCCAACCATTTGTCTTTGCATATAAGATCCCATTGTGTTATAATTGTATTTGTAAATATCGAAGTGTCATACACTGGTTTTTCACAAGGACATGTTCCTGTTATTTGAGTCCCTTCACAAGTATATTCTGCTTTTGGAGCCAAAAATATAATTGCCATCTGGTGGAATGCAACCGGAAATTTTGATAAAAATATCAGAAAGCACAAGTAAAATTGGTATTTTCCAAATGATCCTATGGCACTCTGAATATGGTCTAACTTAGGTTCATTTTGATTCGTTTTCGGACCTGAAAATATTAAATTACAGTAAAGGTTTTCAATATTATTTGTTACTAAAATATAAAGCTATAAATTTTATTAATATTTATACACTGGAAATTTTAAGAAAAAAATACATAATGTTATTTTTTTGACATCGATGGGATTTAACTAGTAGGAAATAAACCAAAAGCGAAAGATAGTTTTCATACATATATAACATCTAAGAAAAAAAAACTCATAAAAACAAGTCGCTTAACTTAACTGAATGTGTTTATTTTTATAGAGTAAATTTAAAAAGAAAAAGCATAAAAGTAACGTCGTGACGCATTGATGACATTTATTTTAAAAACCCTCACATCTCAAAAACAACAAGTTTGTTGTTAAGATTTCTTTATACTTCAGTGAATGTTCTTTTGTTAACATATTCTACAATTAATAAGTAACTATCTCACTAATTGTATAAAATATCATTACTAACTAAATACCTATAAGTTGTATGCTATTACTGTTAATATTTTGTTTGTCAAAAAGCCTTATCTTTCTATACACTAACATTTTTTAAGTGATACATTTCAAATTTAATTTAATTTATTTGCATAAAAAACAGAAGTATGATAGTAAGTGAATAATTTTTCCATTTAATTTATTTAAATTCTAAATTGTTCCATATTATAAAATGATCATATTAGCAAATTACTTATATTATTTCAGTTGTCAAGGTTTAAATACTCCTTTCGCACTATCAAGGTCAATGGCCTAAACTGGCACTTTCACCTATGAAATTCTTACCATTGTCATCTCCTTGTCTTTGTAACTCCATTATGTCAAATCCACACTTCAAACACTTCCTTCACACAAATTTATTGTCATAATTAACCCGGAGTTAATAATGTTCTCTCAGTGGCTCCCGGCCATAGACTGACCCTGTTGCCTCTCTTATACTAACTGTTAAGCCTCTTGATAGTACTCGCGCGCAACGTCACGTCTGTCGACATAACATTGCAACAAGTAACCACAATTCATGCTATTCCATATTAGTAATGATCATAGCATGAGATGAATAAGTGTTTTATATAGTATTACTGTTATAACATATTTACATAATATAAAATATTGTGTTTATGTGTTTTACATAAATTGTCGATAAAAAACAAAAAATCATCGCAACGGCTGATATGGTTAACGATGCATATCCGGACATATGTGCGTACGTCCATATTAATGATACAGTTTAAAGTGCTAGTTTACAAACATTTACACTTTATTGTGATTAGCAATATTCAAATTTTCAATAAGTGTAAACTTACTAAAATCTACAGTCTACCTACTAAATATTTCATTACGCTTATAACATATTTGTATATAATGTACATTGTTAATACTTTGAGAATTTCTTACTATTAATGAGCATTTTACAAGTGGTCATATTACTGACTTATGGTATTTTTATTTAGCCTACAAGAAGTTTTAGACGTGTTTTTAATAGTATCTTATTTGAGAGGTGTATACAGTAGTTTGTTTATGATAAATGTTGAATGTATAGTGGATGGCCTAATCTATGTGACATACGAGTACTGTTTGTAATTGGACAAATAACTCACTGTAATTCTTTGTACTCTTTTTCTTTCCTCCATATGATTTAATATTTTTAGATAAACAGTCAATATTTCAATGCTATTGTAAAAACAATGTTGAATGTATCAAATTATATATTTTATTCCTTTTTTTCTTTTTAACTTTATCGTTATTTGAGGTGAAATTGTAACCGATTCTACAATGTTTTGTATTTTTATCTATGTAACAATTATTAAATCAATAACAAATATTTTAGTAGTGTTCATGAAAACTCCAAAGGTCTGGCAACTATTCCTTAAAAACAATCTAACAATTTGATATAAAATAATCTCAAAAAGTGAATAACAATTTCTTTGTGGAAAGTTATGTAGTGATAGTTTGTTACTAGATAAATTCATGGAGATAATGGGAGATATACAAATGTAATGAGAGGAGATTCCTCGCAATCTAATGGATACTAGATGCAAATGAACTATAAAATTGCTAAAACCTATTACGTCACTTATCCAAAGCTGATTCTTCCAAAATTGCCAACAAGTGATTCAATTGGTTCTAATATTACAAAAGATTAGTCAACAATAGCAAAGGACAAACTGTCCACGCCTTATCCAATGTTCGTCAAAATTGTGAGCATTTTATTTAATATTAAATCGTGTTTGTTTATTGTAATGACTTAAGATTCAAGTTAACCTTTATAAAGTATTAAACAAGATTATGAATATTCGATTGTAAAAGACAATAAAAAATAATAAACAATGACGTTGTAAATCCATAAAAATATACTGCTATCCGAATATCTACCATTTCATTTTATTGTTGTTGTTTTGTCCCGTGCTTTCTCCGAACTCTTTTTTTTCAGTTACAGACTAAGAATATCTAAAATTATTCATCAATGAAATAACTATACCTTTTCCCGAAGAAAAATCAATTAGTTCATAATAAAAACTTTATAACAATATATTACTTTTTCAAATTTAAACTGAGTTCGTAAAAAGTAATGATTGTGAAAATATATGTAGGTAAAGGTAAAATATATTACAGTTTTTCTGGAAAACAGTATTAAAAAAAATAACAAGAAAAATTGCTCTTGGCATTTATATTTTCAATTTAATTATATTCCAAGCATTTTTTAATATTTTCAGCTTATGCCTATTATCAACAAAATTATAGCGCTATAAAAATAAAACGGAATATTATATCACAATAACAATATAACAATAAAACGGGAAAATATATTTGATGACTTCACAGAAACCGCTTCCTTGAACTTTATGGCGACAAAATATCTTTTCATCTTATTTTTTTTCTTTTCATTTCTTTGCAAGTTTACCTGCTTATCTATGTACACTAGACAATTTCTGTAATCAAAAATGTCACTGGTTTTTTTATACCTACCAAGCGAAGCTTTTATTGACGAATTGATATTTACAAATTTGCCGTCTTTGACATATGTACGAGAAAGGCTGTATATAGATGGAAATAGATTATACCAGTACAGTAAAACTTATTACTGGTGTTATACGATGACAATTATAGATACCTATCTGAGGCAATATTCAATAATTGTCAAACCTAATAATGAGACTGTAATACATAAAAACATACATGCTGTGAAGTATTTTTGTATTAAAAGTTTACCTACTATTAATGATTATATTATTAATGATTATATTGTTACATTCAAAAGATATTCGATAAAACTTCTTTAAGTGTCTTATACTTCTTTATTTGAACTTAGATATCAATGTATTAATACAGATAGTTAAATTGACGTTTAATGTATGTACAATAATTGTTTTATGTCAAATTCAAAACCTAAGGACGCGTGAACTAAGAGCATACATTATCTTTTTAGTACGCCTAGCCTTAAAAGATTAGAAAAATATTCTAGTCATTTATTTTTTTCTTCTCACTTTTATACTATTTTAATGAAAAGCATTAAAACTTGATAATATATGAGTAATGAGAACGAAACAAAATAAATAACAATAAATAAGATATATACTTCAGAATCATATGTTATTCAAAAATATAAAATAAAAACTTGGCACTTATTTTTAACATTAAAAATTATTTCACTTCGTTACATGTACGTCATACACCTGCGTACATAGTACATCTGCGATATCCTTCAGATATGTATACTGTGAATTGTGCTATCACTGAACCAATTCTCGCCATCATGAACAAAAATTCTATGTCATAATTACGAACAACGGAAAAAAATAGTGCGGATCCATACAAGTACATCAATACAAAAACTATAAAACTAGCTACCCCTCCAATACTGCGAGTATGAAAAACAAAATGAACATAGAACGCTAATTTTAAGAAACATAGTACACTAAAAATATAAATTTAAATTTATGCACTATTAATATAGCCCTGCCTAGTACTTTCATCAAAGGTGTGGAAACAAATGTTCCAACTAGAGTAACGCTTGCACTTGCTATTACGTTTACAAAGATATTTGTACTCAACCGTCCGACATTTTAGGAAAAACTGTAGCTAATAACTGCATGTTAGCCAGTTAAAAGGCAGCCAATATATTCTTTCTTAGATTTTGAGTCCAAATAAGATCTAATATACTTCTCTTCTTGAGTTTATTGTTTATTGATAGGTTATTTCTGTAAATAGAAAGGAATAATTTTAACTGAAATTTTATGAGTAAAAATAATTTAGTCATTTCATAGCAATACTTTTATAATATAAATAGGGTCTTCAGTCAGTTATGCAGCTAACCATCGTCTTCGTGGTATCAGTAATAAGCGAATAAACAATAAGTGAGCAACAATGGATAATATTTGTAATTAATAATTTAGATAACCTCTGTTGAAGTATCCAAAAACTGGCAACAATATATGACCGAAATTGGTAAAAATCAGAAAGAACATCACATAATATTTCGCAAATTTTATATTATTAATTTCATAAATACTTTAAACATGGGACATGTTTAATGTACTAAAACAAAACAATTGAAACAAAATTTGCGTTAAGCTTGCCAACTATCTATATTTGCATATTATAATGGAATCCAGAATCATTATAATTGTATTTGTGGATACCGAAATGTTGTTGTGCTGGTTTTTCACAAGGACATGTTCCTTTCATTGTCCTTTCTGATTTGGAAACAGAAATATTATTGCCACCTGGTGGATTGCAATTGCAGCCTTCAATAAAAATACCAGGAAACTCAAGTAAAATCGGTATTCTCCAAATGATTCTATTGCACTCTGTAAATGGTCTAATTTTATTTCATTATTATTAGATGTTGATCCTGAAAAAGTATCTATGTATTTAAAATGAAGCATGCCGTAAAGGTTTTTTCATAATCTATCACTAAAATATTTAAAAGTATTTCATTATTATTTATAAACCATAATTAATAAAAGATATATATCGATGGAGTGAATATAATGAAATCACCAGTACTAAATCTCTGAGAACTAAGCTCAAAACAGAAGGTTGGTTGTTCAAATGGGACCCACCCTTG